GGCTCTTTATGTTGCAAATCTTTGACTTGATTCTTGCGATCTTCCATTCTGTTTTTAGGACTCTGTATAATATTTTTTATTTCAGACAATGTATTCTTTATTTCTTTTTTTTTTTTTTAATATATTTTATTTGATTTTGTACAGAGAGGAAGGGAGAGAGATAGAGAGTTAGAAACATCGATGAGAGAGAGTCATCGACCAGCTGCCTCTTGCACACCCCCTACTGGGGATATGCCCGCAACCAAGGTACATGCCCTTGACCGGAATCGAACCCGGAATCGAATCCTCCAGTCCCCAAGCCGACGCTCTATCCATTGAGCCAAACCGGTTTCGGCTCTTTATTTCTTGTTGATCCCTTATCATTTCTTGTTGCTCCCTTATCATTTCTTGTTGATTCCGTATTAATTTTAGTTGATCCCTTTTCATATCCTCATAGGTCTTATCCATCTTTTCTAGGAAATTCTTGAAAAACCTTATAAGCGTAGATTTGAACTCTATATCCAGCCGCCTTTTGTCCTCCATTTCTTTCGTTTGTGATCTATTTCGTTGTCGCATTTCACAGCTACAGATGGGGCGGGGTTTCAGGGTGGAGCCTACAGCTTTGGCTTCCATCAGCCCCGCCCTATGTGGCTCCTGGGCCTCAGGGTCCTTCAGTACTTGTTGCAAGCGCCTCTGAGAGAAAGGTGCCCTCGATTTTCGCCTGCTGCCAAACAGTCTAGGCTTTTCCTCAATGAGCCCAGTATTGGGGTTCAGTTCAGTTGGAAGTGGAGTTGGAGGTGGCGTTCAGAGCAGTCTGGAGCCCCTGTCTCCTTCCTGCCAAGGCAATTCCGCGGCACAGCCAACCGTCCCTTCTCTGCGCTCGATGTGCGCGCCGCCGGGACCCCCTTTCGCCGCTCCCCCGGGGTTCCGCCTTACAGCCCAGCTCCCTCTGGATGAGCCTGGGTCCCCGGGGTCTGGCCTAGAACTGGGGTTCAGAGCAGTCGGAAGTGGGGCCCAGCACTGTCGGAGTTTTATTTCCTTCCTGCTAGGGAACGTCAGCCAGGCACTCAGCCGCCCTCCTCTCTGGCTCCGTTCTCTCCGCGCGCTGCATATCTCCATACCTTAGGCTTTTCCAGCTCCTCTGCGCTTCCTTCTGGTTTTCTCCTTGCTTCTCATTGTAGACTTTCCAGTCAGTCGACTTTCCTGTAGTTCTGGGTAATGTCCATTTTATATTTTATTGAAATTGTTGTGTGCGGCTGTGGCTAGGTGTTTACGTGGGCGCAGCCATCTTGGATTCTCTATTTTTTTATTTTACTTTTATATTTTACTGGAGGTCCGGTGCACGAAATTCATGCACGGGAGGGATGTGTGTGTGTGTGTGTGGTGGTGGTGTCCCTCAGCCCAGCTTGCACCCTCTTCAATCTGGGACCCCTCAAGGGATGTCTGACTGCCCATTTAGGCCTGATCCTGGGCAGTCAGACATCCCTCTCACAATCCATTACTGCTGGCTCCCAACTGCTTGCCTGCCTGCCTTCCTGATTGCCCCTAACCACTTCTGCCTGCCAGCCTGATCCTCTCTAACCACTCCCATGCCAGCCTGATTGATGTCTAACTGCTTCTCTGCCAGTTAGACCAGGCCAGCCCCCAACTTCCCTCCTCTGCTGGCCTGGTCACCCCTCACTGCCCTCCTCTGTAGGGTTGATCTCCCCCAGCTGCCCTCCCTTGCAGGCCTGGTCCCTCCCACCTGCCCTCTGGTGCTGGCCATCTTGTGCTGGCCATCTTGTGCTGGCCATCTTCTGTCCACATGGGGGCAGGATCTTTGACCACATGGGGGCAGCCATATTGTGTGTTGGAGTGATGGTCAATCTGCATATTATTTTTTTATTAGATAGGATAGAGGCCTGGTACATGGGTGGGACCAGCTGGTTTGCCCTGAAGGGTGTCAGGGTGGGGGTTCCCTTGGGGTGTGGGGTGGCCTAGGCGAGGGGCCTGCAGTGGTTTGCAGGCCAGCCACGCCCCCTGGCAACCCAAGCAGAGGCCCTGGTATCTCAAATTTATTTACCTTCTACAATTGAAACTTTGTAGCCTAGAGCGGAGCCAAGCCTTGTGCTTGCTCGGTGGATGTTGCTATTTCTGTTTGGATTTGTGTCCCTTCTATAATTGAAACTTTGTAGCCTTGAGTGGAGGCTTAGGCCGGCAAGGGCAGGTGGAAATCTTGGCTTCCTCCATTGCCAGAGAAATCCAAGCCTCCCTCCTGCTCTCTGTGGCTGCAGCCATCTTGGTTGGCGTTAATTTGCATATTCATTCTGATTGGCTGGTGGGCATGGCTGGTGGGCATGGCTGGTGGGTGTAGCAGATGTAGGGTTAATTTGTATATTACTCTTTTATTAGATAAGATTGGTTTTCCATAGAGAGGAAGGAGAAGGATAGAGAGCCAGAAACATCAATGAGAGAGAAATATTGATCAGCCGCCTCCTTCATACCCACTACTGGGGATGACCCCGAAACCAAGGCACATGCCCTTGACCGGAATTGAACCTGGGTCCCCTCAGTCTGCAGGCCGACACTATCCACTAAGCCAAACCAGTTTCCGCAGTTATTCTGTTATTAATGATTAAGTTTGGAATCACTTCCTCAGTGATTTTAAATGAAAAGTAATGAGGTAGTTAGAATGCAAGACCACAGATTTGTCAGAATTCATTTGAGAAAACCCCTGCAGCAAATTGAAGTGTTTATTTTCTTTTTCCTCTTCTTAAAAATTTGGAACCCCCTATTATGGAAAAATTCCCTTGGAATGAATTAATCTCAGTATTTTTTTTTCTTTTAAATCTTTATTGTTGAGAGTATTATAGATGTCTCCCCCTTTCACCTCTTTGACCCCCTTTATCCCGTTCCCCCCTACCCCAGGCTTTTACCTTACTGTTGTCTGTGTCCATTAGTAATGCCTATATGCCTTTAAGATCTTTCTTTTATCTCTTCCTGCCCCCACTCCCTTCCCTCTGAGAATTGTCAGTCTGTTCCATTTTCATGCCTCTGATTTTATTTTATTCACCAGTTTAGTCTGTTTATTGGATTTCTTATTTGTTTATTTTGATTTTTAGATTCAATTATTGATAGATAAGTATTTATTACTTTTTATTGTTCACATTTTTAATCTTCTTCCTCTTTTTAAAGAATACCTTTAACATTTCATATAATTCTGGTTTGGTGGTGATGAACTCCTTTAGCTTTTTCTTGTCTGTGAAGCTCTTTATCTGACCTTCAGTTCTAAATTATAGCTTTGCTGGGTAGAATAATCTTAGTTGTAGGTCTTTGCTATTCATCACTTTGAATATTTCTGGCCACTCCCTCTGGCCTGCATAATTTCTGTTGAGAAATCAGCTAATGGGCGCCCCCCTGTAAGTAACTAACTGTTTTTCTCTTGCTGCTTTTAATATTCTCTCTTTGTCTTTTGCTGTTGGCATTTTAATTATGATGTGTCTTGGTGTGAAGTGTCTTGGTGTGGTCCTCAGGGAATCATTGATGGGAACTCAGATATGGCTATATGGCTGCCAGCCAGCTTTGCAACAGGGGGAGGTCCCAGCACAGAAACAATGTGACCCCTGCCAGCAATCCTTGTTTGTTTCTTTATGGTTTCCAGTGAATTTCTCTATAATGTCTACATCATAGTTTTTTTGTTTGTTTGTTTGTTTGTTTTTTGTTAGGATAAATGTACTATACTTAAGTTAGAATTAATTATACTGAGTCTGAACATTTTAATTCCAATATGCATGAGGGGGAATTAAAATTACATTGTGTCACTAATATGGGATAGGGTGTTAGTAATAGCAGTAACCCATCCTAACAGTATTACTGTGTTTTGTGTGAAATGAAACTACTTAATCAGTGGTTTTAATGCTTGTCTGAAAAGGGGTGGGTATTAACAGAAGGGAGTAGTCGCTGGAATCCAGAAAAAGAGAGCAGAGAAAATATATGCAGAAATATAAAGGATTTAAAGAAAGTATAGCAAATGAGGTTTTATAGAGGGATTGTTGGTAATTTGTTTTTTCTCTTTGGCAATGTATATATAGTACTATCTAAGGAAAAGAAATGTGAAATTTGGTAGGTGTACTAGAGAGTCTTTTTAGGCATTTTCTTGGCCTGGATGAATATTCCTTAGGACCCATTAAATTGTGCTTACCAGGCAGCATTTTTAACCAATTATTAATTCAGCTCCCTATAATATTTTATTTCAGAAAGGGTATGTTTTCATAGTGTAGCTATTCTTTCACTAGACAGTATATTTCCTTATTGTAAATGAATAAGTTTATAAACTAATTTACATAGCAATACTATGTAAATTTGTTTAGTATGTGTCCAGCTGGGTACAATGGTAAAATCGGGTTTCTGGCTCTTCAAAACATAGACCCAGACCCTGAACCATTATGTTTCAGTCAAGGTTCTGCTACCTGTATGGGTCTCTCTGAGTGACAGCTGCCTCATCTGTAGACATCTGACTTGTTTTTCTTTGGTTTCTATAGAAATAGGCATTAAAACTATACCTAAATTTCATAGCATGTATATAGCACTTTTTTTTTTTAAAAGATCTTTAAAATGGGACAGTAGGACAATAAAAGCATTAACTCTGAAGTTCAGTGAACTCCAAAGTTCCTTTCTAGCTCCAAGAATCATAATTCAATCAGATTCCTTTCAGTATCCACCCCCGCTATTATTTGAAAGAAATACATGGGAAGAAGTAGATTTAAAGTATTATGTAAAAGCTGAAGTGTTTATTTAACTGGAAGGAAAATTTACTACCGGAACTCAAATTCAAATTTAATTTCTTTTTGGGTATTTTGGTGTATAATAAGTAAACATTCAGCTCAAGTAAATTTGGCTCAGAATGCTCTTTTCTTCAGGTAAATGTAATATGAATTATTAATATCATGATAGAGTTAAAATTTTAATTTGGTAAGATAACCAGAAATCTTTGTGGCTAATGTGTTTTTATGTTTCATTTAATGAAGATTAGAAGAGGAGTCATGTCAGAAGAAATAGTAAGCGAATCACAGTTTTCCTTGAAGACCACAGCACTAAGAGCGTTTGATCGCCCTCTGTCTTGGTACTATTCTCTTTCTCAGGTAAAAAAAAAAAAAAAGAAAAAGAAAAAGAAACTAACATGAAGTTGAATAATAAGTTTACTGCTCGGAGCATATTTTGCTTACAATCTTTAAAATTTAATTGATATTTTAAAAGGTTCAGTCAAAAATATTTGTTAGTTTACAAGTTAACTTGGTTTTATTTTGTGTTTTTGTTGTTATCAAATTCATAACTTTTAAAAGGGATTGTATTTTATATTTTTATTTTATTTAAATTCTTTATTGTTGAAAGTGTTATATATGTCTCCTTTCCCCCCATTGACCTCTCCCTCCTACCCCTAGCACATGCCCTCACCCCCCAACTGTCTGTGTCCTTTGGTATTCTATACATATAAAGAGGTAATATGTATAAAGATTACGGTGACCCAGTCACCACCAGACTGTGGGCGGGGATGGGGACGGGAACTGCTACCCCCAGTGCTAATGTCAGGCTGCCTGTGTGCGTTTCTGCCCAGAGCTGAAGTGAAGCAGCCTGCCTGTATCCCCAGCTAGGGATCTGATACTGCCTGTGTGCGTCCCCGTTCAGCACTGACGTGATGCTGGGGTGGTGGGGGGCACGCTGAGCTTGATGGGGGACCTCAGGCTATTCCCCTCCCCTGGCGGGGCTTGATGGGGGAATCTCAGGCTGTGCTCCCCAACCCCCGTCCTGGCACCAGGCTGGGAGACCTCAGGCTGCGCCTCCCGCCCCAGTGCCAGGCTGGGACACCTCAGGTTGCATCCCCTGCACGGCAGGGCTTGACAGGACCCCAGGCCGTGCCCCTCACCCCAGTGCCAGACTGGGGGACCGAGGCTGTGCCCCCACCCAGAGGGGCTTGACGGGGGTGGGGCTGGCCAGGTCTGTGTCTCACCCAATAGAGGTGGATCCGGCTGGGTCTGGGCCTCCTGCATTTTCAAAGTGCATGTGGGTGGTGAGTGGGGACTTGACTCTAGGTCCCGCAGCATGCCCCAGACTCTGACAGGAGGAAGATTTTATATACATTTTATTAATTTTCTCTCATCTCTGACACTGCTATTATAGAGAAAGAGCAAATAGCACTATTAAAATATTTCTTCTAGTTAATTCCCTTTTAATGTGCATGAGTTTTGTGCACCGGGCCACTAGTGCTTATATAACCATGCATACAAGTCCCATGGTTTCTCTTATCTTTCCGCTTCCCACCCCAACTCCTCTCCTTCCCTCTGAGGTTTTATGCTTCTGTGTCTCTGTACCTCATCAGTTTATTCATCAGTTTATGTTGTTCATTATATTTTTTCAGCAGTTTATGTTGTTCATTATATTCCACAAATGAGTGAGATCATGTGATACTTATCTTTCTCTTACTGGTTTATTTCGCTTAGCATAATGCTCTCCAGGTCCATCATGTGAATGGTAAGAGTTCTTTTTTCTAGCAGCATAGTATTCCATTGTGTAGATGTACCAGTTTTTTATCCACTCATCTGCTATTGGGCAATTAGGCTGTTTCTAAATCTTAGCAATTGTAAACTGTGGTGCTATGAACATAGGGATGCATATATCCTTTCTGATTGGTGTTTCTGATTTCTTGGGATATATTCCTAGAAGTGGGGTCACTGGGTCAAATGGGAATTCCATTTTTAGTTTTTTGAGGAAACTCCATACTGTTCTCCTCAGTGGCTGCACCAGTCTGCATTCCCACCAGTAGTGAACGAGGGTTCCCTTTTTTCCACATCCTCACTAGCACTTGTCGTTTGTTGATTTGTTGATGATAGCCATTCTGACAGATGTGAGATGGTACCACATTGTCATTTTGATTTGCCTCTCTCAGATGATTAGTGACTTGGAGCATTTTTCCATGTCTCTGGGCCTTCTGTATATCCACTTTCGAAAAATGCCTAATTAGGTCCTTTGCCCAGATTTGATTGGGTTGTTTATTTTTCTTTCGTTAAGTTGTATGAGTTCCCTATAAATTCTGGAGATTAAACCCTTATCGGATGTAACATTTAAAAATATGTTCTCCCATGCAGTGGGCTCTCTTGTTTTGTTGATTGTTTCTTTTACTGTGTAGAAGCTTTTTATTTTGATTTAGTCCCATTTCTTTATTTTCTCTTTAGTTTCATTTGTCTTAGGAGCTACATCGGTGAAGACACTGCTACGAAATATGTCTGATATTTTACTGCCTATATATTCTTCTAAGACTTTTATGGTTTCCCGTCTTACGTTTAAGTCTTTCATCAATTTTGAGTTTAATTTTGCATATGGTGTAAGTTGGTGGTCTAATTTCCTTTTTTTGCATGTATCTGTCTGATTTTCCCAACACCATTTATTGAAAAGACTGTTTTGACTCCATTGTATGCTCTTACCTCCTTTGTCAGATATTAATTTTTGAGCATAATGGCTTGGGTTGATTTTTGGATTCTCTGTTTGGTTGCTTTGGTCTGTTATCTGGTATTGTGATAGCCTGATATCTGGTATTGTGATCCCTCCAACTTTGTTATTCTTTCTCAGGTTGCTGTGGCTATTCAGGGTCTTCTTTTATTCCACATAAATTTTTTTAAAATATATTTTTATTGATTTCAGAGAGAAAAGGAGAGGGAGAGAGAGATAGAAACATCAGTAATGAAAAAGAATCATTGGCCAAAACCGATTTGTCTCAGTGGCTAGAGCGTCGGCCTGCAGACTGAGGGATCCCAGGTTCGATTCCGGTCAGGGGCATGTACCTTGGTTGCGGGCACATCCCCAGTGGGGGGTGTGCAGGGGGCAGCTGATCAATGATTCTCCCTCATCGATGTTTCTAACTCTCTGTCCCTCTCTCTTCCTCTCTGTAAAAAAAAATCAATAAAATATATTTAAAAAAAAAGAATCATTGGTCAACTGCCTCTTGCATGTTCCCATTCCCCCCACTGGGGTTTGAGCCCACAACCCAGGCATAAGCCCTTGATCAGAATCAAAACTAGGAACCTTCAGTCAGCACTCTATCCACTGAGCCAAACCACCTAGGGCTGTTCCTTATTAATTTTTGGAGCATTTGTTCTAGGTCTGTGAAGTATGCTGTTATTTTCATGGAGATTGCATTGAATCTATAGATTGCTATGGGTAGTATGGACATTTTAGTGATGTTGATTCTACCAGTCCATGAACATGGTATATTCTTCCACTTGTTTATATCTTCCTCTATCTCTTTTTTCAACATCCTATAGTTTTCTGAGTACAGGTCTTTTATCTCCTTAAGTTTATTCCTAGGTATCTTAATTTTTTTGGTGCGATGGTAAATGGGATTGCTTTTTTAGTCTCTGTTCCTGTATGTGCTTTGACAGGGGTCGAAACCAAAACTTTAGGTGTCTGATCATTGTGGTTTTGATTTGCATTTCTCTAGTGACTAGTGATGTTGAGCATCTTTTCATGTGTTTATTATCCATGGCAACAGTGTTTTTATTCTTAATATTTGTTCTTAATTCAATTTGTACTTTTATTGTATTAAATAAAAATATATAGATAGAAAGTAGCATTTAGTTCACTAAAATTACACTATTTTATCAAATCCAAGATGATCATTTTTGTCTGTGAAGCTCCTGATTTCGCCTTCAATTTTGATTGATAGCCTTGCTGGGTACAGTATTCTTGGATTCAGACCCTTCCTTTGCATGACTTTGTATATTTCATCCCATTCCCTTCTGGCCTGATAAGTTTCTGTGGAGAAATCAGTTGCTAGTCTGATGGGGGTTCCTTTATATGTAACTTTCTGTCTCTCTCTGGCTGCTTTTAAAATTCTTTTTTTGTCGTAGGTGTTTGCCAGCTTAATTATAGTGTGTCTAGGGGTTGATTTTCTGGGGTTCATTTTGCTTGGGACTCTGCGAGCATCTTGGATTTGTGTGGGTTTTTTCTTCTCTATCTCAGGAAAGTTTTCTGTCATTATTTCTTGAAATACGTTTTCCATGTCTTCCTCAATTCCCTTTCCTTCTGGAACCCCTATTACTCTAATATTGTTTTGTTTTGTATTGTCCCAGAGTTCCCTTAGACTTTCCTCCTGTTTTTTAATTTTTTTTTCCAGAAGCTGTTCTAATTGGGTATTTTTTTCCATCTTGTCTTCTAGCTCGCTGATGCGGTCCTCTGCTTCTTCTAATCTACTCTTGATGCTTTCTATTGAGTTCTTTACAGTACCGATGTCATTTTTCATTTCTTCTTGGTTCTTCTTCATTTCCTCTTGGTTCTTACTCATATTGTCAAATTTGTCTTCCATTCTTTTTAGCCAACTTATGATCATTACTCTGAGTTCTTGCTCTGGTAGGTTGCTCCCCTCTATCTCGTTTACTTCCTTTTCTGGTGAGGCCTGCTTTTCTTTCATATGCGGGCTGTGTTTTGGTCTCCCCATGATCTAGGATGTCTGGTTGTGTAGTTCTCTCTCTCCTGCTTTGATTTAAAGGCACCAAATACAATACAACCAGGTACAACACACAGGGGACTGAATCGGGATGTGTTTGAAATATTAATAACCACCAATAAGGGTGACTAGAACCCAGCTAGCAAAAACATACAATCAAACAAAAAGCATATCAAATCAATCTTATAAACAAAAGCATACAACTTCAGTATAGTTAACATTCAACATACAACTTCAAAGTGTTAGAGAGAAAGACTTTTGTTTTGTTTTGTTTTTAGGACAACTGCGAGGGAGGTGTGAATGGGCTCGGAGCAAGTAGTTGGAAATTAGATATATAGAAGTAGGGTGAAATTTTAGGAGGGGGTAGACAGAAGGAATGGGGAAAATCTAGAGCAGGAAAGGGTTAAGATAAACGGGGTACCAAAGGAAAATATCGGAAAGAGGGTGAAGGCATAAAGGATAGGTTGAGATAGAATAAAGCGTTGGAGAAGGAAAGATAGATAAAGCCTGTAGAACAGTAATCCTGAAATAAAAAAAAAATATATATATAATCAAATGAAATAAAAATAAACAAAAAAAAATAAGATGAAAAAGGTAACTTAGTAGTAGTACAATGTAGTAATTATAAAGATAAAATCAAGTGAG